TGTGTGTGGTCCAGGTGTGTGATCTTCCTGGTTCACCTCCCGACCGGAGGAAGGGGAGGAGCTCCTCGCATCACTGAAACAAACAAAAATGTTTGTTAAACTTCTGAGCTCCCTCTGTGTCTGCTCCGATTCTGTTTGTAATAATAATAATGATAATAATGATGATGATGATGATAATAAATAAATAAATAAATAATTAAATAATAATACGTGACGGATCCACTGAACCTCTTTCTGTTTCAGCAGAACGTCGTCCTAACGTCACTTCCTGTTCTGTGTTATTTTCGTGAAAAAACGGACGAATGAAAACAAAGACGTGCACGAGGTCGTACCTCTGTTGGCCTTGCTCGGGTAGATCTTGGTGAAGTGTCTGTACTCGTCCGGAGGAGGGAAGTCGTCCAGAGGATGGAACGAGTACTTGGACTCAAAATCATCTGCAGGAGGACGACACAGAGTCAGGACACGGAAACAGCTCAGAGTGATACAAACAGCTGAGTGTGCGTTTACACGGCAAGCTTTACAAACAAAAGGAGAAGAGGGGAGAGACAGGAGGAGGACACAGCAGCAGCTTCATCGACCGCCTGCTGGAGACCGACTCACCCGCAAACGAGCGAGGGACGGAGGAGGAGTGCCCGTTTCGGAGAGGAGGGGGAGGCGGGGGAGGAGCGGCTGGGGTGCGGGTGGGCGGGGGAGGAGGTTTTCCTCGGGTCGGGGGATCGGAAGAGAGGGAGGGGCTACCATGTGTCCTGTAAGGAGGGGGAGGCGGGGCTTCTCTGCCACCAGCCCTCAAGGACGTCTGGACCGGAACCGGAGGAGCTGAGGAGAGATCGACACAGGTGATCAATACAGGTGATCGACACAGGTGACTGTACTTCTGAAAACTGTCTAACAATCAAAAATAATTTGTTAAAATTTTTATGAAGTTAAAACAGAAACCTGGTTGCAGCAGGATGATTATGTTAGTTTAAATGAATCAACACCCCCGAGTCATTCTAACTACCAGAAA